TTTTGATGTAAAGGGCACCTGAATGAGTGTCAAAATCACAAAAGCCACCATATGCACCACCACTAACTCGAACACGATCCCATAACCACGTGTTCCCAATGTACTTGGAAATGACATATGCACTTCCGTTAAGCTGATATCCTGATTCATAAATGTTAGCAGATTTGCCAACATAATTTACCTGTAAAGATATAATACATTGGCTTTAGAATGGGGTAAATCACAAGAAACCCTCTTCATAACCTGTTTTTCAAGAAACCCCCTCGTCTATGATCATCAATGAAACAAATATTGTAATGAAGTTTGGTTCTTCAGAAATTTGTGCATACATCCACATAAGCTGAGTTCCAGATTAATTATAACAAGATAAGATTTCTTTTACTCTGTATAAAAACATTTTCTCTAATTTCTTCCTTTCAACTCCCAAAATTTGTTAAAAGTTATGATTTCATAAGCAGTCATAGATAAGAAGGTTTTTTGCCGAATTTTTAGATGAGGGTTATTTTTCTTTGAAATTTAGGTTGTATACTAATGGGGTTTCTTGTGAATTCGTACTGTGCCCTTTAGAAAAAGATATGCAAATGAAAGGAGAGGACATAATCTCTTAAATAATTGAACCTGGGTAGGAATGACAATAGCTTCATTTCCTAGAGGTAACCGTGTGTTCCAAGAAGCAGTCTCAGCAGAGGGAGCAGTTGGGAGGAAATCGAGAAACTTAGAGATATACTTTGTTGAATTGTTAAGATTTTTCTCATCAGCCGTCATGTTAATCAAGCAGCCTTTCCTAGAGAAAAGGGATCTACGAATCTCCTCGAGTGACGAAGATATTCCGTCCCAATCTTCATCAACTTTCTTCTCGAGATCTTGCAAGAACTCCAAATAACTAGGAAATAATAACATAAGAGAATTAGTATACATTCATATTGAGATACGCTATAACATGAGATACAACAGCCATGCAAAAAGGCATTTCAAAGCAAACACAGGAGGAAGAAGTCATAAATGTCAAGCACTATCTACTGCTGTAAATTCTAGAGGTTAATAATTGAGGTACAGCAGACTTAACATAAAAAGTAAAAAGCATAAAGTAGAATAAAAACCACAACTACCAATTCTCTCACAATAAATATGGTTCTCACTACTCCCCCAATGTTCCTGTTTAAACCAATCCAGTGCAACAGAAAGGTGAGATAATCATTTCTTTGAACTTTTGAATAAGGTTAAGCTAGGCACATATAAGTATGATCCTTAATTCGTTTATTTTGAAAATTCTCATTAATCTGCCTTGATATGCACAAAGTAATGACCCTAAAAAAAACTTCTAATATGTACTTTTAATTCATGATCTCTAAGGTTCAAGCCTATAGCCGGGGTCTTCTGGTTGATTGGTTTTCCAATAAGCTGAAAGTCAAGGGATTCAAGCGCAAGTTAAACGAGATTGGTATTCTCTGTTGCTGTGTATATGGAAGGAAAGCAATTCCAGAATTTTTACACAGAAAGCCAGGGATCATGATGCTGTTACCAAAGCTGTATAGCATATAGGTTGCAGTGCTGATTATTCTTCTTAATAGCAACTTAAGAAAATAGCAAATGATAGATTGGAACTATATAATTTTTTCTTTTCTTGATGAGATTGTAACTCAGTCTGATGTACTCTTAACACACATTGGTGAATGAAATAAAATCTATTTTCATTGACCCCCCCCCCCCCCGGCGGGGGGAGGGTGGACTGGGGCTGGGGGGATCCAAAACTTTCAAGTAGGTCATTGACAAGAAAACTTCTAAGTGTACTACAATAGATCTACTACTCTTGTACTATTAGACACAACGAAGTTGAGTCCATAATAAGTAATAACTCATAATTTCTCTTTGCAATTTACAAGAAATGGTCCCACTTTTGTGTGTGTACTAGTACAATTGTATAACTCTTGTGTACAGTTATCATTACTCCTTTGACAAATATTATAAATTTAAATTTGATCAAATGAAACCTTAAAAACGTGATAGGCCCAACAGTCATTAATTCAAGAGTGTGCATGCATATAAAAGGAGATATTGTAGCCAAAAAAAATCAGCTGAAAAAGTCCTTAACCGAGCCTGATTAAATAATAGATCAGATTTGTGTCTTACAGAAGAAGGTTTAATTACTATGAGTGAATTAAGGCCAGTCTAAAGACGGTATTTTGCCTTCCTATTCCAAGACTTATCTCAAGATCTTTACTCTAAACCTCAACATTGTCTAACAACTCAAACTTCTTAAATATTGTTTGAGAGAAAATGCATATATAGGGGGCATGAATATTAAGGACTTTGTTCTTAGTTTTGGAACTTACTAACAAGCATCCTGCAATGCTAAATCATTGTCTACATCCCCTAATTTCTCAGTTCATCAAGATACAGCTAGCTTTGTTTGAGCAACCAAGTAACTAACATCTTAGGGCAACACATGATCTATCCGAGCTTTTAAATGTCGAATGTCAGCGTTCATGTTGGACGGCTAAAATCCATGTCGGATGGCGGAAATCATGGGTATGTCGGAGGACATGTACTAAATGTGACATGTACTAAATGTCAGATTTCTATATCGGATAGTGCACATATTTATCATACGATGTCCAAAATGCAGTCTAAGCAAAAAAATCTGAGATTGAAGCTCTGGCCCTCAAACCCGCTTTGCACAATCCGAAATTGACACAGAAACAAAAAATAGCGAGAGAGAACCAACAAATAATAGTGTCAGAGAGAGAGAGAGAGAGAGAGAGAGAGAGAGGACATCCGCCATTGCCCCCGACTTGTCTGATATGACGCTAGAAAATGACATACGCCTTGAAAAGGACAATGTCGTGTCGCTGGAGGCCTAAATCCGCCGACATTTAAAACCTTGGATCTATCTAACCCTGTAAATTTTATAAGATTTCTCCTCAACCTGATTCAGCAAAGAGAGACCCCTAAAAGAAAAAGGGAAAGAAAGAAAAAAGGAAAAGTAATGCAAAACAAACAACCTGCCCCTTTCTTCCCCTTCCTCTTTCCACACTTCCCAAGGGTAATAAAGTTAAAGATTAGCCCATCAAGGGATGTTATCATGTTAGTGCTAACAAAATAGTTTTGAGGTAGTAACTGGCTAACCGTCCATACTACAAGCAGCATATCTGCAATTAACCCTAGGTAAACATCAATATGGAACGGATCCACTATGAATGTAATCATCAAACCAGAAACAGAAATTTCAGCTTCAAGCATCCTTTTATCAGAATATTCTGAGAATACGATCTGATCATAATCATGAAGTAGGATAAATAAAATGACATTGTAAAGGCTTTTGATCGTTCTGTCACATATTTATTGGCAATATAAACCTATATGAACTAAGATCCATGTGAAAGAACACGAACGAAGAACTAACCTAATACCACCCATCTGCTCAGAAATCCATCCTGCAACATTCAGTTTAGCATCCATTCTTGCTGCTGCAATGCTATGGCCACTGCCCCTTATTCGGCTCTGCAAAAAGGTACCGGTTAGAGAACATTATTGCACCAGGATAATTTTGTCCAATATTAATACAGTAACAGGTACCTCCATTCTGGATTTGCTTTGAGAAACAAATTGTTTGAATCGTTGCTGTTCGGTAAATTGAACATCCTGAAGAATGCAGTTCATCTGGCAAGCAAACCAAATCAAATTTAGATGACTCCAAAAGATTTCTACAAAAAAGACTTCTGTAAAATCTACATCAAATAATATTTTATATTTTACTGATTTCCCACTAATGGCACTTACATTTTCCATAACTTTTAGATATCTATACTGATGGAATGGCCCCATGTGTTTTTCTCTTTCTTTTTATGGGCCAGGGGTGTTTGTTGTTTTATCGTGCTTTGGGTTGGGTTGTTTGTGTTGGGGTTATTAAAGTGACTTAATGAGTCAGCCTTGAATCACAATGTGGAACATTGCTATGGATAATCCAAAGCGTTCATCATGAACTCCATCTCTTAGAAGGACCATGTATAAAAAGGCTTGAGATTTAAAGTACATTTTCGCCATTGTTCAAATGATTGTATTTCATGAAATGCCACTTGTTTCTAATTTGTTTTGTAACCTGTTGATCCATGGTTCCATGGTTTTGCAGAATCATTTTGGGCCTAGAGATCATGATGGTCTACACTACCATAAAGAACTTAGGCTGACAAATTAATTAGAAAGTCGCCAAAAGAGTCACCTTAGAAGCATATTGTGCTACGCATGGAAGAGAGGGTGTGTTATACTTTCTCATTAAGAAAAGAGAGAAGGGAGTTTCTCTCCAAAAATAAGATTCATTTAACACTTAATATACTTCACACATATCTATAGAGACAATGTGTACCCTTGGTTGCATAAAATATTTGAACCATCTGGAACTCTGTTAGTTTTCCAGATTGGGACCATATTGGTGGAAATTTTAAGATAAAGGATTTTTTTTCATGGAATATAAGAGGAAAAGATGTCCCAGATTGGCTATTTGATCAAATATCAAGGGAACTTCCCTTTTTTCCTTTTTTGTTCAGAGAAATCTAAGAGAATCCAATCAGTGTAATGCCTGAGAGTCGGCCTTACCACAGCAATGAACTCATGTAGTACAGCCCATGGAAAAATAATCATTGTAAAAATATTTTGGAAATAGAAAAAAATGCATGAATCAGCAAGGTAAAAACTTAAGCATAAGGGGCTTTAATAGGATTTAGAGAAAAAAGCACCAAGGACATTTTTTAAGATTAATATAAAAACTACAATAACGAAAAGTAGAAAATAGAAAAATGTAACACCTATGTAAATACGACCGCATCTCGTTACTATAACACCTAAAAGCTAGTTCTAGAAAGTAATGACAAATATATACTAATTAAAATATTGTTATTCAATCACTATGTAAATATGATACAACAATGAAGGATGACTAGTACAAGGATCAAGAAGGTGTGCGTAAATATCAATATGCTATATGAAAACAGGTGAATGCAAAACAAGGATACACCAAAGCATACAAATTGGTAGATTCCTTTTCCAAAAATTAAAATGATAAAATTATTGGAATAAAAATACAGAAAAGATAAATTTTGAGTGAGTCATGTGAAACCAAAATTCAACCCAATTGAGTTGAGTTGGGGCAAAAATATGTGCCCCTTTATGCTACTTTAGCACACTAAACAGTATATCAAACAGAAGTTTCTGGCCCCTGAACTGAGTGGTTTTCACTGTAGCTTTTCATTGGAGCGAAGTGGCTTGTTTAAGCTAAAGCGGGGCTGTGAGGCTTTTTATAACAATGCTCTACAACATGCATTCTTGCTTAACTCAAGAATGTATGAAATATCACCCACAATGATCCCCACTCCAATGTCACTTTTGAAATGCAGTAACAGACATGGAACAACTATTTAGTAAATCTTGCACCTAAAAAGCTGGATAACTAGGAAACAAAGTGATGGAAGGAAGAAACTTCCTACTAGGTGACAATTATACATTAGTCACAAAGCAACAACAGGTTTATGGCTCATCAAAACATAAGAGACAAAGATCTTTCAATCGGGATATATACTTTTAAAACACATCAAAGAAAAAGATTGTCCATTAACATTAAGATCAGTTAAGAGTTTGTTCCTGTATGTATATATTTGTGATTTATGAAGAACAAACTAGACATACCAGATTAAAGAGGTCTTCAACTCGTCCTGCCATTGCTTTGCCTCGAACAATCATACGAGTACATGGATCTAATTTTCCACGAACAGAAGATGTGAAAGGATAAACAGAAATTCCTCCAGTTTTCCTTCCAATTAATTGATTTAGCTGTATAAAGTCCATATCCTTTGTACCCATCTCTAGCAAAGACTGACTGTTAAAAAGCGCTTAGGAATTAGTTTTATATTCCAAGTGAGATGCAAAATTAAACCAAGAGAGAATACACACCAGAATAATGGCACCAAAGGAAGAAGTTCCTTTTTAAGGGAACTCATATCAAAGACAACTTCAGAATAGACCACATCATTTGTAAAAAGATCATGCTGCAGTACGTTTACCCCATTGACTTCCGTTATCTGCAATTATACACACATACCACACAGCTTTCAATGTTGTTATTATAGGTAGGTAAAATTTTAAAAATTTGAATTACTTTATGAAGCAGTAAAAGACTGAAAAAAGCTCAAGGTATAATAGTTAATTTTCATAGTGTAAACACTCAAGAGCATGCATTAATATACTGCTATATGGGCAAAAGTAAATGACCACAAGAAAGCTTTATGAGCACATATGAGTTGGGAGGACCCAGAAAGGCAATATTTGCATACATATGAATGTATACACGTGCTGAAAAAGAAAAAAACACACACACACACAGAGAAGTGACCGCTGTATTTCATTTGCTTAGCCGTATCTTAAAAATGAATGAATATGAGATGAATCTTAATAAAAATAATGGAAGAATAGGATTCATGTAAATGATCCCAAAAATTTGGGATAAAGGTTATGTTGTTGTTGCACGTTAAAAATGAAATATATGTGGCTATTTATGTAATATAAAGAAGAGTAGTGCTTACTTCTGTGGGAACATGCACAGGTTTTTTTGGGATATCTAGCAAGGAAAGACTTGGGACAGCTCTTAAAGCTTCTGGCGGATCTGGAGTTTCTTGCTTTAACCGTAGATCTTGTGTAGCACGAGCCAGTTCAGCAAGATCCTCCTCTGTCATACTTTCTTTAACCTTTTTAAGAATCTCCTTCTCTACTGCTTCATCACGAGATGCTTTCTCTGGATCAGGCTGAGAAGAAAATTGTTTGGTTATTCCACAAAGTAATGAAAAGCATCTCACACATATCAATTCATTTCATTCGAAATAATTATGTACCTGCATCTCAACTGTGACACGATGAGGGTTGTTCAAGATGTATTTCTCTATTAACGGAGAGAAAACAGCTTTGGGACCTTCTTCAGCTATTCTTGCTTTCAGAATTTGTAATGGTTTCTCATATTTTAAAGGCTCAAATGGATCCATATCATAAATCCATTTACCCTGCAAGTAACAACCAACTAAGCCTATGTATGTGACTGTAAACAAATAACCAATAACAACAAAAGAAGAGCAGGATAGTCCCCATACAATTGAACGAAGCATCAGCGATAGGCCTCGAGGGAATGAACCGGTGTTATTCTCCCTCAATAAGAATTCAATAGTGTTCATAGATGCCTCAACAGCTTCAGGAGCAAATCCTTCCTCAGCTAAGTCTTTAAGTGTCTTCATAATCAATTCTTCAACCTTATTAATGTCATTCGCAGAGACACCTTTCAGCCCAATGCTAAATTGGGGTTGAAGGAGTTCATCTTCCATGCCACCACCAACCATGGCTTCTCCTAGGCCACTTTCTAAAAGAATTCTTCTCAAAGGAGAAGCCGGTGTTCCCAACAAAAGATGATTCAAAAAGCCCAGCGCAAGCTCAGTTTGCAAGTCCAAGGGTTCATCAGATAGCAGCCAATTAACACAAACCATGTGCTTCTTTTGCAAATCACCGCCTTCTGCTGCAGGATATTTCTCAACAATCCTTGCAGGCTCTTTGAAGAGCTTTTGGGGTTCAACCTTAGACTCGTTAGGGGCAGAACTTGCATCAAACTGGTCAAGATATGCTGCAGTAAAACAAGATTAAAAGCAGAGAACAATAACACAAGTAAAGCTAATAAGAGATTGAACTGCACATGGTAGAAAAATGTAGATAACTTCTACTTGAGGTGGCCATCTAAATTATGTCTGCCTATACAATTGCTTTGTCACCATGCAGAACATTATAAATGTTCCAATCGGTTATGATTTTATAGAAGAATCACATTGAAAGTATTGCTAACCAGAAGAGGTTATCATGACGGTGCACAACAATTCATTGTCTAGTGGGATTGAACAAATAGCCCATATTATCTGTCAATGGGTCTCTTATATTCATCTTTTTGCTTATAGCCACACCCTATAAACCCTAGATTCGCAGCAGCAGCAGCAAAAAAAGGGTCATGTTTTATTTTGATTCTCAGGTTGTTTATGTTGGTAGTGCTTACGCACTTTGATTGAGTACTAGGGTCTTTATTTTCTTTGAGGAGGGTCCTTGTTTGGATTAGTTGTTGCATGACGGCCGATTCTAGCAAGATGAAGGCTGAGATGAAGACCGAGGTGAAGTTTTCTGAGCTGATCACTGAAAAGATCACAGACTAGAAGTTGGATGGCAACAACTACCTGCAATGAAAACAGAGGATTGAGATTTATTTGTATAATCAAGGAAAGATGTGTCACCCATCAGACGACTCTCCCACGCCAGTGACTGATGCATGGACCTAGGAAGACACTACCCTACTACATCAAATTTTGAATGCAATGGAGGACAAGACTCAAGACTTGGTACCGCATTGTGAAACTTTGAAGGAACTTTGGGTATTTTTGGAGTTACATGGAAGGAGTAGCAATACCAATAGAGTGGTCAGTCTTTGAAGGATTATTACAGTGATTTCAATCGCTTGTTAGAGAAACTTCGTCAGATATTTCTAATTACATCTGACATGAAGAAGATGCAGAAGCAGTGGCAGCAGTTGATAGTATTGATCTTTTTGGGAGGTCTTGATCCAGAGTACTCCACGTCCCAGCCTCAGATTTTGGATAGCTCAGCTGTCGGTTCTCTAGCAAAGACTTAACACTTTTTCTGGAAGGTGGCCTTACCTCCTTCACCAACTCCTCCCATAAAATCATCATATCATTCTGCCCTAGCCGCTCAAGGAAGTGGGGACAAGGCAGCTACTTTACTAGACGTCGCGGAGGCCACCGCAGAGGGCACGCTGATGCTCGTGGTGGATGAGGGAATAACTCAGTCATATACTATTACTACCGTAAGGAATCAGGACATATTAAGTGTCAGTGATCCCTCCTGCAGGCAAATCAAGCTGAGTGCCCATGTAGCTGCATCTCAGGAAAGCCAATCTACTCTCCCCACAGTTTTGACAAACGAGGACTAAAAGAGTTTGAGCAGTTCCAACTTCAGTAATTTTAGCAGTATCAGGAGGCACAGTCCACATATGCTACAGCTACATTAACTCAAACAGGTGCTCTAACCATTTATAGTACATCATCTCCACCTCGTACCTGGGTAATGGACTCTGGAGTGACAAATCATCTGACTGAAAACAGAGGTATCTTATTATCCTTTATCATTGTTTTTGCTTCCTCGTAACTCGTAAGTTACCCCAACAGATGGTTCTCAGACACCCATCACTAGGATTGGATCCTCCTTCACTACACCTGATCTTCCCATCTTTTGTGCTTTACTTGCCTCAATTTCCATTTAATTTACAATCAGTTAGTTGTATTACTTGAGCTAAACTGTTCAGTGATAATTTTTTCCTACTCATTGTACTTTTCAAGCAATTTGAATAAGGAAGACGATTGGTACAAGACGTGAGCACAATAGCCTGTATGAGTTGGAGTTGATATCTGACCAGATAGTTTGCATCAGCACTACATCAGCTCTTGACTATCACTGACAGTTCGGTCATCCATCTCTACTGGTTCTTAAACTTTTGGTTCCCTATTTTGGTTATGTTCAATGGTTAGAGTGTGAGTTATGTCAACTAGGAAAGCATCATCGTGTGTCTTATCCTAGTTGGGTCAATAAGAGAGCTACTAGTCTGTTTGATTTAGTTCATTCACACGTTTAGGGTTTATGTCGTGTAGTGTCAAAACTTGGATTTAAATATTTTATTAGCTTTGTGGATGATTTTTCTAGAATTACAGAGATATATCTTTTAAAATATTGTTCTGAAGTGTTTTAAGTTTTTAAAATTTTTCACTCTAAGATTAAAAACTAATTTAACACTGATATAAAAATTTTACGAACTGACAATGATAAAGAATATTTTGATAAATATTTCACTCATTTTTGAAACAGAATAGAATTTTGCATGAATCATCTTGTGTTTATATACCTTAGCAAGATGGGGTTGCTAAACATAACAATCGACATTTGCTAGATATTGCTCACAGTCTTTTGTTTCATTGATATGTTCCGAAGATATTTTGGGGAGATGTCATTTTGACTACATATCACTTGATAAATTGCACGCCTTCTACAGTTTTGGTCAATAAAATTTCATATTTAATTTTTCACCCTCATAATGACATGTTTTCTCTTCCACCTAAAATTTTTGGATCCTTATGTTTTGTTCACAATCATAGCCCAAAGAAAACAAAGCTAGATTCTCGACCCCTCAAAGATATTTTCCTTGGTTATCCTCGCACTCAAAAGGGTTACAAGTGTTATTATCCATCTCTAGATCACATGTATTATCGACAGACGTCACTTTCTTTGAGTCTCAGTCTAAACATACATCTCCTCCTGCTTCTGGGATAATTATGATTACTTGATTATTCGTAAGACACAAAGCATTAGTGATTGATCTAATTCTAATTCGATACCTGACTTAGACCCATCTGCTCTTGAGAAGATTCTTCAAGTTTACACATGTCGTCGTGCTCCTACTTCTGTTACAGTGTCAAACTCGGTACCAAGTCCTTATTACAATATAGTAAAACTGTCACTGATCAATTACTTAGTACCATTACTATTGATGATCTCCCTATCGCTCTTCACAAGGGTAAGAGATATTGCACTCAACATCCAATTTCTAAATTTTTTCTCTTACTCTCACTTATCATCTTCATATCAGTCTTTTATCTCTTCTTTCGATTCTCACTTTATCAGTTTTTTATCTCTTCTTTCGATTCTCACTTTGTTCCCAAGTCTGTGTTAGAAGCCCTATCTATTTTAGGTTGGACTGTAGCGATGAAAGACGAAATGACAGCCCTCGAGCAGAATGACACTTAGGATCTAGTTACTCTAAGCTATTGACTACAAATGAGTTTACACTATCAAATTAAGCCCTGACGGGTCTCTTTCTTGTTTGAAGGCAAGATTGATTGTTAAAGGGTATTCTCAGGTGTATGGGCTCGACTATCTTGACACATTTTCTCCCGTTGCAAAGATGACCTCTATACGACTTCTCATCCATTAGTTGTGACATTCTACTGGCCTCTTCATCAATTGGACATTAAGAATGCTTTTCTCAATGGCATACTTAAAGATGAGATTTATATGGGGCATCCACCAGATTTTGCTGCTTAGGACGAGTACAGGAAGGTGTATTAGCTGAAAAAGTTACTTTATGGCTTGAAATAGTCTCTGAGAGCATGTTTTAAACATTTCACATCGGCTATTCAGGAGTTTGGTCTTTGTCGATCACAAGCACAGAAACAACACTCAGTATTTTGGCGGACTCATGCACGAAAGAACATACTCCTTGTTGTATATGTGAATGGTATTGTAATCACGGGAGATGATATACAAGGGATTAAAAGCTAAAGACACACCTACAGCAATATTTCCAAACAAAGGATCTAGGTTCATTGAAGTACTTCTTGGGTATTGAAGTTGCTAGATCCAAAAAAGGCATTCTCCTATTACAGGAATACATCATTGACATGCTTCTAGAGGCAAATATGGTAGGATGAACAACTGCTAACACTCCGATGGATGTGAATTATAAGCTATTACCAGATTGGAGGGAGCTTTTGAAAGATGTTAGGTATATAGAAGATTGGTGGGAAAGTTAAACCACCTAACAGTAACCAGGCTAGATATCACATTTACTGCTAGAGTAGTTAGCTAGTTTCTTTCAGCACTGAGAACGACTCATTTGAAAGCTGTAAAGAGGATTCTCCAATATCTGAAGAAAGCTCCAGGGAAGGAAATTCTCCATTCAGAGTGTAGGCAAACAAGAGTTTTAATTTTTTTAGATGCAGATTGGGCAGATCACCTTCCGATAGGCGTTCAACTACTAGCTATTGTGTCTTTCTTGATCGAAATTTTATTTCTTGGAAAAGCAAGGAACGAAATGTGGTTTCTCGGTCTAGTGCAGAGTCTAAGTATCGAGCAATAGTGAACCTGACTTGTGAGTTGGTTTGGATTAGAGACCTTTTGATAGAAGTTGATTTTCTTCCCAAGTGCCCTATGACATTACATGCTGATAACATGTCCGCTATACATATTGCTGAGAATCATGTGTTCCATGAGAAGAGAAACATATTGAGCTTGCTTGTCATCTAGTTCGTGAGAAGATGAACAGATGAATTATTTTGGCTAAGGATGTATTATCAGAGATCAACTTGTAAATATTCTCACTAACATGCGTAGATTTTATTTGTGGACAAGTTGCGCATGTACAATGCATATGCTCTGGCTTGAGGGGGAGTGTTCAAAGAGTTAATTAATATTTAGTCCCATATTAGTTACGTAATAATTATGTAAAGACACTCCTATTATAAATATAGTTGAATAGAGAGAAAATTATCTCCTCTTTCTGTAATTATTAATTTCTGCACACATCATATCAATAATTACTATTTTAATAAAACATTTAGCCATTTGCATGCCTATATGAAATAAGGTATAAGTTTTGAATAAAAAAGCGAAAGTGCAGATTGAAATGTCAACAAACAAGCAGATACAAGTGCTTGGACAGGGACAGTGCATGCTTAAATTTTATCCAATTGCAATATGTATACAGATAGCAAAATTTAGCATTTGGATCATAATCAT